AATAATGAAACATAAAGCAGTTTCTCTTACGAGTTGAAATCTTATGTTTCGTTTACTGCGATATCCGAATTCTACGTTTCATCTGTTGGGTCATGCATTAATTACATACAAACACATGCATTAGTGACCGGAGAAAGAGTCGACAGCGCCAAGCAGTGGAAACCTATTTTCTTTCTAAATGAAATCATGGTTCAGTGTTATAGATATGACCAACCAAATAAAGAAATAGAACAATTGTAAGTTGGTGGTCGTCTACTGTACATAGGATAGGAGGTAACATGATATATTTCCTCTGGTGTATTACTTGACGTAAATGTTCATCATCCATTCATCCATATTTTTTTCCCACGGGAATTCTCTTAATTTGGCTCTTCTGCTTTTGGCTAATATTTAGCTTTTTTTATTCGCATTTGCTGGAGAAGTATATTCATTGCACCAGCTTCAGTGGTAACTAGCAGTAGTGATCACTTTTTATTCTGACCCTCATTTTAAGATCATTTACAAAAATAAAAATAATTTGACACAATAATATTCCACAACAAATATGGATGGTAATTTTATCAGATGGATTGTTTAGTTCAACCCAAAATTTACATGGATCGGGTTGTTCATTTTCTATTCTATTGTTTTTTTATTGATCATGACTTTTCATCTAAATCTAACTTATGAATCACTTTTAGCTGTTATAACTAAAATGTCACCATTAATAGTATCTAACTTTTTATTTAACTGATTTTTTAGAATAATATATTCAAAAAAATTATTGCTTGAATAATACTGTGTAAAAATTATTTCGTGAAATAGAACGAATATTACATTAAACCAAAAGACGTGCTGCCGTCCCAGGCGAAGACGCATTGTTGTCACCCTGCGTCTCCCCGGGATCTTTCAAAAAATTTTATATTACTAAACTAAGTTTTCAGTAAGTTAAAATCAATTTTAATATTTGAATTAAGTGCTCTTCTAAATCGATGACTAAATAATTTTTACTCTAATTTTGTTCATTGTTTTGATAATTTTATTAACTTTGATAATTTTTAATGATGATATATGATTGTATCATATGTTAATAAATGTATAATTTAAATATTTAATTTTTGTAAAAATATTAAGAAAAATCAAAAGCATTAAAATATTAAAAGCAAGTTAAAAATATCCCATGCGCGCGGTCGGCAAAATCTCATGTGTCTCCTTCTCGTGTGACCGAAAAAATCGCATGGCATGTCACTCACGTAGTTGCAATAAGTATAGGGATGGGCATGAGACTCGAACCCGAAGGGTTCCGACCCAAACTGACCCGATCGTGTCGGGTTTTTTTAAAGGTGATGGTTGGGTCAGGTCAGATTAGGGTTTAGGGTGAAAATACCCGACCCGACAAAAAAAAATATAATTTACTTTATATATTTATGAATAATTACAATAATACTCCTATATATTATTTTTCAATTAAATCATTATTTTATTGAATAAAAAATAATATTTTTGTATTATTTCATGTCGGATCGGATTCGGATTTTATCTCAAAAAGTCGGGTCGGGTGGAGGGTATATATTTTTTGGGTCAGGTGAAGGATGAAAATTTTTCAGGTTAGGTCGGGTTGGTTGAAACCCGACCCATGCCCGTCCCTAAGGAGGTATCTAACATTCGAATGATAAAAGTTTAACCCATACCCTATGCTATCCTAACCCATACCCTGTAATAGCAAGTTGAACATTAAAAAATCTTTTCAACTATATATATGTAAGAATGAAATCGAGGCAATTGCAATTCAGAAAATTGATAGAGGGAGTAGAAGCAATTGCAAAGAATATTAACAGAGAGAATATTTCAGAAAATTTGGTGTTTATTTTTATTATTATTATTGCAGAACGAAGGTGAATTATGTTTGAAGAAATTTTATTTGAGGTATTTTACTTTTGATTATTATGTTAATATTATTTTTATAAATATTTATTATTTTTACGATTGTTATTATGTTAATATTATTTTTATATTTTATAATATCAATTTTACGATTTATGATCATAGTGTACCATATTTTTTATTCTAAATACAAATTTTGAATTTGTAGAGAAAATGATCAACATGTTTTTCACGATTGTCCATTATAATGGACATATTATGGAAAATGAGGTCGGAGTTGTTTTACATTCTGAAAGACCTGTAAATATGATGTTCAAAAGGGACATCACATTTGTAGAAATGAAGTAGAGGATAGAAAGGAAAATCCGAGCTACAATTGATGGTTTGAAGTACAAGTTCATGGTATGTCCCAATCCAGTTAGATATGCTGCAGTACCAGTTGAAGTATATGGTGATATTGGAACCATGATTGGATTACATGAGTCAACAAAAATTTTAGTTATTGAGTTATTTGTTGATGTGCGTAAGATATCTAATGTTCCCGAGTCATCAAGAAATGTGGCTGGAGATTAAGATACATCGTACAATGAGCTACCACATTTGTTACAAGCAATGGAGCGATTCATCCCGGGAACCATAATGAAATCTCAAACCATGCCTGCATATAACGAAGAATGTCAACTTGTTCCATACAACCACGATTATCTACTTGGACCATACATTTGTAAAAATTTTGGTACACTATGATCATAAATTGTAAAATTGATATTATACAATATAAAAATAATATTAACATAACAACAATCGTAAAAATAACAAATATTTATAAAAATAATATTAACATAAAAATCAATAGTAAAATATATAAAATAAAATTTCTTCAGACTTAATTCACCTTCATTTTGCAAAAAAAAAAAAGTACCAAACTATTACACTAATTTCAGAAAAAATAACATAAATTTAAACCAATTTACCATATAATACATACTCAAATTAGAATAACAAAATAAAAACACACCAAATTTTCTGAAATGATCCATATGTTAATCTTCATTGCAATTGTTTATGCTCTCTCTATCAATTTTCTGAATTGCAATTGCCCCAATTTCATTATTACATATATATAGTTGAAAGGAAATTTTTTTTAATGTTCAACTTGTTATTACAGGGTACGGGTTAGGATAGTATAGGGGTATAAGTTAAACTTTTATCATTCGAATGCCAACTACCTACTTAGAGATGGGTTTGAGTCGGGTTTCTGCCAACCCGACCAGAAAAATATATATCTTCTATCCGATCTGAAACTGACCTGATTTTTTGAGATAAAATCTGAACTCGATCTGAACCGACCCGAAATAATAAAAATAATATTTTTATTCAATAAAAATAGTGATTTAAATGAAAAAAAATACATAGAGGGTATTATTGTAATTATTTCTAAATATATAAGGTAAAATTATATTTTTTTTCGGGTCGATTCGAGTATTTTCACCCTAAACCTGAATTTAACCCGACTTGACCCGAACCTGATTAAAAAAACGATCCGATCGGATCGGGTTCGGGTCTCATGCTCATCCCTATACCTACTACACCTATATGAGTGACATGTCATGCGACTTTATTGGTCACGCGAGAATGAGACACATGAGATTTTGCTGACCACGAGAGGAGACCCGCGCGTATGTGACATTTTTAACTTGCTTTTAATATTTTAATTCTTTTGGGATTTCTTAATATTTTTTTTACAAAATTAAAGATTTAAATTTTACATTTATTAACATATGATACAATCATATATCATCATTAAAAATTAATAGAGTTAATAAAATTATCAAAACAATGAACAAAATTAGAGTTAAAATTATTTAGTCATCGATTTGAAAGAGCACTTAATACAAATATTAAAATTTATTTTAACTTACTGAAAACTTAGTTTAACAGTATAACAAAATTTGAAAGATCCGTGTCATGCGACTCGCCCATTTGGACGACCATGCGTCTTTGCCTAGAATGATAGGGCGGCAGCGTGTCTTCGAGTTTCATGTAACATTCACTCTATTTTGTGAAATAATTTTTACACCGTATCGTTCGAGCAATAATTTTTTTCCGATTGCATTATTCTAAAAATTCAACCCTTTTTATTTACTATGATTAGGTATTTAATATTTTTTTAATTACACATGTTTAATACAATTGGTTCTTATTTATAATTTTGATGCCATCTAGTTAAAAGAATAATGTGTTAAAAATTCACAAAATAATCATTCATATTTTATGCATGAACATATGTAATTTTTTTTAAAGTGAGGTGTTTAATCACACCAAAAAGAGTAGGTTCCGAATTGTATTATTCAAATAGTTAGGTATACAATTTTATCATTAAAAGAAAGTTAGGTATCACATTGTACATAAATATTAAAATTAAATATTAAAAATATATTTACTTTTGTTTTTAATACAATTCTTAAATTACTTTTGATTTGTACATATCATTTATTAATTAAAAGATAGTGCGTATTTGTACAACTTTCAAATTATTATAATATGATAAATTTGATTGAATTAAGACTTAATCTAACCTACCACTTTCAATTAATTGGAGACAAATATAAATAAATAAAAGGAAAAAGGAGAATAATAGACTGGTTGCTTTTCAAAATTTTCAGGCAATAATGATATGCAGCCACCAACCCCGCACGCCGCACCAATTCCTTTGCCCTTTAAAACTAAAGAATATAATTAAAGTTTCAACTTATATTTAACGAAAATTACAATTATAATTTTTTATTTAGATAATAAATCATATATATTTTTTTCTTAAATATTACTATGTAATTCTGTAATACACAGACGCAATATCTTCTATTTAGGGAGAAAATATTTAAAAGTTTAAGAAAGTGTAAATTTAAAAAATAATAAAAATTACAAATTATCCAGCACTTGTGTAATAATATCAAACTCAAATTATAAATGTATGTTTCTGCAATATTTATAATTCTAGATTGTGATTTTTTTTAATGAACATTTTTATTCATATAATAATAATATAGCAGCCGCAGACAACAACCCCAACTTGAAAGTCAGAATATTGGAAATACGTTTATAATTCCCCCGCACAGCACAGTTCCATTTCCACCAACCCCAACTCCCTTCACCTTCCTTTTCTTCGCTCTCTATTCAGATCCGACCGTCCTCCGTCTCTTGATCCAACGGTCGGCATGGCTCTATCGCAGCTTCTCTCTTCTTCTTCACGCTCCGGAAATCGTCTGAAATCCCTCTCGTCGGCTATCTCCCTCCGCCATCCGATCTCGACGGACACCACTCCCATAACCGTGGAGACTTCCGTTCCTTTCACCTCTCATCAGTGCGAAGTTCCCTCACGCACCGTCCAGACCAATGCTAAGGAGCTTCTCACCTTCTTCCGCGACATGGCATTGATGCGTCGGATGGAGATCGCTGCCGATTCACTCTACAAGGCCAAACTCATCCGCGGTTTCTGTCACTTGTACGACGGCCAAGAAGCGGTCGCCGTGGGGATGGAAGCAGCAATAACTAAAAAGGACAGCATCATAACCGCCTATCGTGACCACTGCACGTTCATCGCTCGCGGTGGGACCCTGCTCGAAGTTTTCGCGGAGCTGATGGGGCGTCAGGCTGGGTGTTCTAGGGGAAAAGGTGGTTCGATGCATTTTTACAAGAAGGATTCGAATTTTTATGGCGGTCATGGGATTGTCGGAGCCCAGGTTCCCTTAGGATGTGGCTTAGCGTTTGCCCAAAAGTACTGTAAAGACGAAGCCGTGACCTTTGCTTTGTACGGTGATGGGGCTGCTAATCAAGGACAGTTGTTTGAGGCTTTGAATATCTCTGCACTTTGGGATCTGCCTGCAATTTTGGTCTGCGAGAATAATCACTGTGAGCAATTTGAATTGGAATGGAATTTTACCGTTTGATAAATTTCAGTATTTCGTGAATTTTGTTTTTGTTTTTTTATTTGATGTAACAGATGGTATGGGAACGGCAGAGTGGAGAGCCGCGAAGAGTCCTGCTTACTACAAACGTGGAGATTATGTTCCTGGTTTGAAGGTGACTTTGTTTGCTGAGAGAACAGTGCTTATAATTTTTTGGCTTATAGTATAAATAAGCCCTTAAACTATGTTTTTTTAACTCCCTAAACTATTTTTTGGTCAAAATAAATCCTTAAATTATTACATTTAACCATTCCAAGTATTGTCATTTTTTCAGTTAGAAAAATTTCTTTTGACACATGTGACACAGAATTAGGTATTTGTTTTGACAAAAAAATAGTTTAGGGGCTTATTTTGACCCAAAAGAAAGTGTAGGGACTTAAAACAAAAAAATACTATAATTTAAGGACTTATTTTTTGTTTAAGCCATTTTTTTGGGTTCTTTAGTAACGTTATTATGATATTAAGTAAATGAGGATTTAGATGCATGCAGTTTTGAAGTGACTACGAGTCTACGACCATTATATGTCATTATAGTGATTAGTGAATGGTAAAAACTGAGAATCATATGTCATTATAGTGATCAGTGAAAGGTAAAAAGGTTTGATAGTTGTGATTTTGAGGCTTTGAGGTATGCGAGAAGCTTCTTCTGCTGGTTTATTGTTTTGTTCTATTGTCCTTTTACACTAGAACTTAAATGTTTGACTGAAGTTTCAAAAAGGCAGAACTCAATGGCTTTTTACTGCTTATACTGTTGGTTCTTAATATTTATGTTTGCTTTCTTCTGAGGTGTTCGTAAGGCTTTGATGCAAAAAAGAATACTTTGTAGTACATCTTTATAGAAAGAAAACTTTTTGTTCAGCTTACGAAGCGTTTTTTTTTTTTGACAAAACATGTCTGCACTTTTATGATAGTCTATTCTTATAATTCCTTTTCCCAAATGGTAGACAAAAATGTACTTTCTATCTTAAATTCTATTTGTCATATGCTTCATATCCTGTAGGTGGATGGAATGGATGTTCTTGCTGTGAAGCAAGCTTGCACATTTGCGAAAGAACATGCCTTGAAGAATGGACCAATTGTAAGTTTATTCATTCAGCTATTAATTATTGTTTTTAAAGTTTTTATTGTGTTCATTTGCTTGCCATTTTTCATATACTAATTTCCCCGTTTTTCAAGATGTGAATCTTCAATGTTTAACTTGAAAAAACAAGATTTTGTTTTTCACTCATCTGGATGTTTGTTTACATTGTTTTTTCTTGCTTATGCCTAAAGCTGTTATAAGCTAATTCTACTATTCTTCTCTATAGTTATTACACTTGGATGGTATTTTTATCATTTCTCCTCTACACTTTGATTATGTACATGCTTCGTTTTAAAACCTTTTCTGATTAAGTGCCCTGCTTCCTGCACCCCGCCGTTCAACTCAATGGTGAAAGGTGTTATTGTTAGGCATGTATTGAGAGCAGCTAATTGGGAAGCGGATGAACTTGCTAAGTTAGGGATAGGTTAAATAGTTAGTGTCATGCTGTTGCAATGGGCTTGTTTTTAGTTTCGGGCTTTTCTTGTTGTAATTGGTGTTATTGAACTCCTGGAGTATTTGGTTTCAAGCAATAAAATAGTTGAGGCACTCTTTTCCTCCTTCCAATGTCCATTGAGCTACACTTGTAGTTAGATGGTTATGAAGGGGGGGGGGGGTTTAATGAGGCCTACTATTTTTATCAAAAAAAAACTTTTTGATTAACTGATATTTGTTCTCAACATTTGAGCAGCAAGCTAGGGAATAGAACTCTCTGTCGGTATACTGTGCTTGCTTCGAAATGTCTTATGCTTGTAATACTTATAATATTGATCCATAAAATTTGGAGTTTGATAATCCATCTTGATGTGTGATACTATTTTAATACTTGTATTGCATTCCAAGCCTTAAGATTGGCAGCCAACTCCTTGACACTGGATTTCAGAAGTAAAATACAGGAGATTTGCACATAACGGATTAGAATATGCAGGAAACTTGTCACCTTTAAAGTTTGGAAACTTGTCACCTTTAAAGTTTAACTTACTGCTCTTGATTGTGGCTTTGAAATTACAAAGAATCAACTTTTAAACCTCATTTTGATCTATCTCTGATTCAAGATGGATAGGACTTCAAATGAGTTGATAAGGATAGAGCTTATCCAGAACAATGTTGGAACCAACTGCTTGAGAAGTTTATCCCAAATTAAAATAAATATAGAAAAGCTTGACAAGTCTTCATGGCTTTAAAGATGCTTTTGAAATCTCTGAAACATGGAAAGTACGCCTAAATGTGTAGTACAGGGTAATCATAACTTTTGAACTTCTTTGGAAACAATGGGCGTCTATGATGTTATGTTACACAAGCTTTTTGGGACTCCAGACTCGTGAATCTCGATTCTCAGTTGCTTGTTGATAGTTCCTTTGATTCCCCTAGGATATTATGGTATGGTAATCACTGAGTGGTTGACAAGTTGTTTTTTGCTAATATTTGATGAAAAGTTGTTTACAAGGACAATCTATTGGTCTGAGATAATAGTAATATGAGACAAAAGCTTAACTCCTATGGGTTTAAAGTATTGGAAACTTCATTCTACAAGATGCCTAACGATATATGACACCTAATTTTGTGAGCTTACAAGTCTTGATAATTGGAGTGGTATTGATGGAATGATTGTAGATTTGCATTCTATCTAATTAGTTGATGAGAAGTATCCATATGCTGCTATTTCCTTTGTGAAATCTCATACTATTTTCTATAATATATTGCATAAGTAATTTATATTAAGCCATGCCTGCTTATATGCAGATTCTTGAAATGGACACTTATAGGTATCATGGACATTCCATGTCTGATCCTGGAAGCACCTATCGAACCCGTGATGAAATTACTGGTGTTAGACAGGTTGATGTTCAATCATGATATACTTTTCCAGGGATTCGTTTCTTAAATGTTATATATTTTATGTTGTATTTTAATCAAGTAATCTAAAACTGACATCCTAGATGTGATGTTTCTAGGAGCGTGATCCAGTTGAAAGAATTAGGAAACTAATATTGTCTCATGACTTAGCTACTGAGAAAGAGTTGAAGGTATTTTTAACTTAAATTTTGAAACTATCAGAATTGAAATCTTGTAAGACTTTTGAAGTGATAGACATTAAAATAATGGGGAAAAAATTCAGGACACTGAGAAGGAAGTAAGGAAAGAGGTAGACGATGCAATTGCTCAAGCTAAGGTAAGAAATTTTTCTGTTGCCTTCATTTTGATTTAGTGATTCTGATTTTAGATGTTTGTATTTATATGTATGTATTTTTTAATTATTTTATTTTTTATAATTTTTTTTCCTAGTTGTCAGCATATATGGTAGGAATGTTTACAATATTGGTTCTTTCACCTTTCTTTGATTCCAGGAAAATCCAGTGCCAGATTCCTCTGAACTCTTCACTAACGTGTACGCAAAAGGTTTGGGTGTTGAGGTATGAAACATTTACCAACTATATGTTATTTTCTTATCTCTATCTATCTTTGCATATATTCCTTGCTTCATCCTATTAGGTATAACTTGTGAATTTCATTAATGAGTGAGCTTTCTTTTTCCTTTTCTTCTTGAAGTAACATTGCTATCAGATAAGAATGGTATCCTTCAAATGTAGAGCTTTATCATCAAGAATCTATTTTGGAAAATTAGTTAATCCAAACTAGTCTAATTGTTAGCCCATTTATTTCTTACCAAGTTCTTCATGCAAAATGGGTAAGAAATTACCTGATGAAAGCCAGTAGTCAAAGGTTTCATGATTAAGTTTGTTTAGTATCCATCATGATGATCCTAGATCCATCATGATTACCCGATGAAAGCCAGTAGGAACCATGACTTAAAATATTTTTGTTGCTTAATCAAGGGATTAATATTTCTTGTGTACTTGCGCCCGAAAGGGAATTGGATTTTGGCCTCATGCTCAAACATTGAGGTTAATACATAGGAATAGGCGTGGCGTGGCCATCACCATATAAAATTTTCAAACATCTGAAAAAATTCCACAAACCTACTTAAGATATTGTTATCAAAATTTTCTGGCTGAGTCAAACATAGGGGAGTTTAGATTGGAGTAGACTGTATACTTCGCAAGAATTCTAGTTGAACTAAACCTTCAGTAGTTGAAATGATTTCAGCCAACTTTGGATTTTTACTAGAGTTCCTGTTATTCAAGGCTATGAACATGGCAAAAATCACGGTTAGACTCACCTAAAGAACCTTACTTGAAGGTTGACTGGTTGAATTAGAACTTGGATAATGAGTTAGTTAAATGATAAGAGTTTTAAGCTGGTTCTGATGGTCTTCCACTTATGAGAGTTTTAACTCAATTAAAGGACATCTCCTTAATCAGATCTACCATGAAAATCATATATTTATATAGTAGTAAATGTACAAGAGGAAATATGCAGGTAATTTATAGGAACATGCTAACTTGCCCTTGCACGCTTGATTGCCTAAAAGGTATAGGGATTGGCATCACTTTCTTGCTTAGTGTTAAGACTTTTTTCGGTGTAAGAATGGAGCAACCTGAATTTACCAGGATCCGGTACCTTTAGCATTATGCAAGGTGGACTAGGATTGCATCTTATGGAACTGAACTAAAACCTCGAGAGAGGCAATGCCGGTATAAAAAAGTTGTAGTAAAAGCACTTGCTATTTCAAAAAGAAGGAAAACATATTACATCTATTCTGAGAGTGCTAAAAGTGCGTTGTACTTTCTGACTGCACACGGGCATCACCTGGACTATCTAGTACTGTCGGTTAGAATTCAAAGGTAGATTTGTGGTTATGAAAAGAGATTTCAAGGCTATTGCATGTCGAGGGTTCCATCTACAATATTAAAACGTGATTCCCAGTCTTGTCACTAACATGAAGATAAAAGTAGAACTGTTAGATTTGTGTCATTAACTGAATTTGCTTAGCCAAGCTGTTTGACTTTAGGACATTTATTAATTCTGTCTCTGTTTATATATATGCATGTATGTATGTATGTATGTATGTATGTAATGTTGCATGGAGCATGAAATTATCTTGTTGAATCAATTGGATGCAGCGGCTCATATAGCCCTTTCTTTTTTTAACTGCAGTCTTTTGGAGCAGATAGGAAAGAAGTAAGAGCTACACTTCCTTAAAGAACTGTTGGGAAGCTAATTCTTTTTGAGTTTTACCGACCATCAATCTTGGAAGAAAGAACAATAAAGAAGCAAAAGAAAAAAGGCTGAACAGCTACAGGTTTGATTTTGTTGTATCTGTATGGAATACTTGATTAGATTATGGGGCAGAATTGTTCCAGTTTAGGCGTGTGCAGAACCCGTGGGTTTAACTTTAAGCCCATGGTTTTACGTTCCTATGATTTCATTGGTTGCTGATTTGCTCTGACCAACCCATGGATAAATTCATTTCTTGAAATTCACAAGAGCTTTAATGCTCGATAACAAAGTTCATCAAGTATCTTCTATATAGTTTTGTCCATGGATGAATGATCATCAAACCCCGACTTTTTAGCATTTATGGATGGATGAATGTCGTTAATAATATTGGATAAAAAGTAATAATTTTTCTCTTGTAATGCAATCTATTTCCATGGATTTTTTTTGAATGGGTTGTACTTTTTATCGTAAATTCTAAATTATTTTGCAGATGGCCTAATGAGCTAATCTTTTAACTCTTCTAGCCTATTGGCCAATTTTTCCGGTTCTGCATACCAAATTTTAGAGTAGGTTCGAGGCGGGTGAAAATATGTCACTTCTCAGGCAGTCAAAAATTTACCCACCCCTTCCGTTTCCACCCATACTCTCAACCAATGCCTATTATGACAGCCATTTTAATTTGATATATTTTCAAAATGGTCACTTTCATTTCATTTCTATTCCCTTTTGGTCACTGATTTTAAAGAAAATAATATTTTGATCACTTATGCAATCGATTCATAATGTTTTGGTTATTAAAACGTTGAATGTCATTAATCTAATAACATGCCTTCTTAGTAAATATGAACTAGTTTTTTTTATTTAATTCTTAAAATTTTATATATAATATTTAATTTAATCATGAAACTTTAGATAAAACATCCATTTAATTTTTGAATCAAAATCAGTCACTGATAACTATTACTCACCATCATGGTCGATTGTCATTCATTATTATGGCTGGCAAAGTAAAACAAAGTTAACGAAAGAAACATTTAAATTTTAAAATTTTCAATGGAAAAATTGAATATCCTAACACGTTATATCACGCAAAACAAAATTGCATCCGAATAAATGTATCTTTATGTCATATAATTAAAATTAATTTTATTTATAATTTTTAATACTGCAAGAATCAACTTACTTTAGTGATTAAAAGAATTGTTATTGTTTCTAGAGGTCATGAGTTCGAACACCAACGATTACAATATAGTGATTGAACGTTTATTATCAAATGATTATGAATAATTTAGACATATATTATTTTGTAATCATTTCAACTTACTAAAAAAATTTAATACTATTCTCATAATTAGTTATCTAATGAATGTTATTCCCGTACAAATTGCCTTTAATTTATCTGACCATCTCTGTCGGTAGTAATGAAATATTAATTTTCTACTTTTATCACTGCAACTCTTGTAACCATGCAAATAAAATTCAGAGTATCCTATGCCAAGTAAACCTACTCCCCCTTCTTCCAATAAATTTCTTAATTAATCCCTTAACCTTGTTGTTTTGCCTGACCAGACCCACACGAGCAATTAATTATATAAAACACCATATTTCTCTCTCCCATTAACCTTTTTGAACAGAGTTTTAAATATGTCTCCAGTGCTCTCTGTTAACATGAACAGGTCAGCTCTTCTCTCTCACACAGTGCTTGTTTATTGGGTAACTTTTCATGCAAATTGCTGTTGTTGGTTGGTAGGTTCATGGGGTCTCAACTCCAACCCCCTCCCCTTTTCGTTATTTACAACTTGCTTATGGAATCTCTTTCATCTACAACTTCACATTCCCATTTTCAATAACATTTCTCTTTACCCAAAATCATATATGAAAGAATCGTTGACATGAACCTTATTATGTTACCGTGACAGATTATGTTATTAACGTAATAATTGCCATGCTGATGCAACAAATTCATATATCAATGATAACATGGTAGAGAATTTTGATTGATTTTTTTTAAAATTTAAATTGATATATTTTCACAACTAAAAAGTATAAATTCTTTTATTAGTATAGAGTTTTTATTAATATAGAGTGAATATAATGTAATATATGTTTAAAAGACTCTTAATGATTTGATAATGAATGCTCGTCCCCTGCAGTGCAGACATCGTGCTTAAATCCGAAACTTCAAAAAGATAACAATAATTCTTTCATTATTGAAGTTATTTGATTCGTCCATAATATTAATTTTTAAATATGAGTACGAGGACTAAAATAGTCCAAAAGGCTATATGAAAATATAGAGTAAGGGGCTGTTTGTTTGCCTCTTAATGGAACCATTCAGCGCGTTTGTTTGGCACCTCTGAATGATTCAGTGTTGACTGATTCAGCAAAACAGTGCTGAATGATTCAGCACAAAAGTACATTATGAATGATTCAGCACAGAAGTACATTCTGAATGATTCAGAACCATTATCAAACAGCATGTCACATTCAGAGCTAATTCATACAGAGCCTCTGAATCATTCAACATTTGAATCATTCAGCGCTTAATCATTCTGAAGTAAACAAACAACCCCTTACTTTACTTTAGGTTATGCCTTGAAAATATGGTGAATTTTTTTATCTTATCTGTTTATTTTAATATGTTACTGTTAGGTGTTCTTATCGAGTGAGTCAATCACGAGTGGAGCATTGCTCGACTCGTGCTCGTTAAAAAATTTTGTTGCTCGAATCAACTTGTTGCTCGTTAAGCTCGTTAAAATATTGCTCAACTCGTGCTCGTTAAACTCGTTGCTCGTTAAGTTCATTGCTCGTTAAGCTTGCCAAAATTTTTATCTTATTTTTTAAAAATAAGTAAAATCTACTAATATTATATAAAGATTAATATAAACATAAATTAATAAATTTAACCTTTTTTTTTCAAAATTGTGTATGCAACAAATTGAATAACAATCCACAAATATATTAAAATAATAATTAGGGTTTGATTTTTGGATGTAGTAAAATAATAATTATTGATTAATAATTTAGTATTTTTTATTATTTATTAAAAAATAATAGATTAGTCATTTATCATCTTTTTATTATCTATTAGTAAAACAATAATTTTTTGAATGAAATATTTTTTTAAGATAATTATAAAAAAAATTAACGAGCTACTCGTGAACTAATCGAGTACAACTAGAGTTAGCTCGACTCAGCTCGTTCAGGTCTCGAGTCGAGTTTAAGTTCGAATCAAATTTTTATTAAGTTTTGACTAAGTCGAATTCAAACTTCTCAACTCAATAAGCACCCTAGTTACTGTTAGTATTTATTTAGACCAATGACTTGGGTTTTACGAGTAAAGAGTCGTAAGAGAAAATTACCGTGGTAAGCACAAAAAGTTAGTTTGGAAGTGGAATAATTACTACTTCATGACTTGAAAAAAGGTGGAAGGTTTTAAGTCAAATCATGGATATCAAAATCGGATCGAATCGACCGGTTGAACCGCAAATCGGTGGCCTATCCGGTCCAGTTACCTGACAAAACCGGTCTGGCAATGAACCGGTTGAAAACGATAGAACCGACTAAAAATCGGTAAAACCGGAATGAACCGGTTGAAAACCGGTAAAATCGGTTTGAACCGCAGGTTCATTTTTTTCTTTTAAAAAAAATTAAACCAAACGACGTCGTTTGTTCAACGAGTCAAGTCAAAATTCGAGTATTGCTGAGCTCAACTCGAACTCGAAAACTTTAAAAGTAAGCTCAACTCGACTCAAAAACTCACGAGCTAAAAATTATCAAGTTCAACTCGAACTCGAAATATAATATTAAAACTTGAACTCGAAAAGGCTCGAACTCAAAAAAAAATTAGAAGTTCGATTGAAGCCTAAAATTTGAGCTCAATTGAAGCGAAAGAATAGTTCGTTCTGTGCTCACCAAAAGACTCCATGATTTTGAATGTCAAATTACCTCTATTATTTATAGAAGTAAGTTGTGATGTTCTCCTATGTTTCTTAGTCATGTGAGTTGTTTTGTTATTATATTTTTACTCTTTAAACTTTTGGGATGCTCTTCTATTTTTCTTAGCCATGTGGGATTGTTTTTAAAAAAAACTAAACCGAATGTCATCATTTGTTATGATTTTTTTAAGTCCCAATTTTATTTTTTTGGTTATAGTTATATAATTATATTTATTGTTTAATATGTTTTACCTTAAATATTATGTTGTAGTTGATTTGAATCATTTTATTTCACTTGATTTTATGGTTTTTAACTTATATATGTTATGATTTGTGATATTTTTATACATTTTAATATTGTAAACTTAAAAAAAGTGTTACAATATATATTAATATTATTTTGAATATTATGTAAAATTAAAAAAAAATTATATAAAATCCGGTTCAACCACGGTTGAACCCGATTAAATCAGTGAACCAGTACCTTCGCCGGTTCAATGTCCGGTCCGATTTTAAAAACATTGAGTCAAATTTAAGCATTGAATATGAAATTGGTTATTTGATCCTAATACATCTTCAACAAGATATCTCACTCTTTATGCCCACTCAACCCTCGATTCCTTGGTCTAATCATAAATTCCACCCCTCTATTTCATGGAATTTGAGAAGATAATTTATCTACTTTATTTTTTCAAAATTTGGTTGTTTAATTTTATCAAATTGACAAGTTAATTTTTTTTTCTGAAACAGACAAGTTGATTGTTGGTAAATATGTAAAATTTAACAGTTGACTTTTGTTATTGTTATTTTGGATGGGAATTGTTGAAATGTTGATAATTGTAAAATTAACGAGCTTCATGTTAACGATTTAACGAGAATGTTTAACAATGTTACTCAACTGGATTAATTTATCGAAATTAGACAATACCTATTTAAATATAACTTTAAACCATTTGACATTGAACGCTCACACCTCTGACATTCTTAGTGCTCGAACTAGAGATCCCAAAACATAACAACAATTCTTTTATCACTGATATCGTTTGGTTCGCGACGGTTGTTAATAGTTTTCTTAGCAAATAATGTACCAAAACTCTCTAGTTTGTTTACTTTTGCATATAAAATTTTAAAATATTTAACTATTTATTTTAGATAAACAAAAATTGAAGTTTTGTGGCATTGACCACCAAAAAATAAAGAAAAAGGAAA